TGGGATTTGTGTGTGTGTGTGTGTGTGTGTGTGTGTGTGTGTGGCGAGAACAGCTGCGATATAGAGCCTGTCGTGGGCGTGAGATAATTAGTGCAGAAGATGATTGTATTATTTGGACGACCGACTAGCGCCGGAGTTCAAAGTGAAGGGAAGCAGGTGAGCTTGTACGGCCTGCAGCTGCATGTTAAACAACTCAAATGGAATCACAGAAGTCCGCGAAGGGGGGAGGAAAAGAGAGAGAGAGAGAAAGGAGGGAAGAAGGGAAGGTGAGAGGAAAAACAGGAAGAGAGAAGCAGGACGGGAGGATACGACGATGGGAAGCCAGTAAGACAAAATTATTTCCGATTAAGCCAAACCCTAAATCTAAATCAAACAGTGTGTCGTGTGAAAATGAATCTGCTACCAATGGCCCCAAACATTATTCACAACAGTTACATAAACTTTGTTTTAAAGTGACACACATCACTGCAAGTCTAGAGGCTACAATAGAACGTGGTAAAAGCTGTCTAGACTATGGCACCTTAAGCTTCCTACAATGGAGTAACGAGTATCAGGGTCACGTTGAAGAAAAACTGTTTGAGTTTGTTCTGTTTGAGACTTCAAGAGTAAAGTTGTAATATTACGAGAATAAATTGTCAGTATTATGAAAATAAAGTCATAATGTTATTTAACAGGAGGAATATCAAAAGATCAGTCAGTCTTTCCAGGACTCGTTTTCTATATTCTCATAATATTATGATTGAAGAATTTGCGCTCAATCACAAATTTATTCCAAAATATTAAGACTTCATTCTATAAATCTCTGAACTGTATTTTTCTTCAACTAATACTCCATTGCAGCTCCCTACTACTATTCTACTAAAGTCATCTAATATCTATGACATACAAAGCTAACTTCCTAGAGGTGCATTCAGATGCACCAGAAAGAGAAATCTTCATATTTGTGCAACCTATTTTTGCACGTTTCACATACTGTACATGTATAAACACAGTATATATACCGTAGCATGTTAGCATGTATTTCTCTTTAGTGACCATAACCATGGCCATTACTGTCATGTAACTGTGCTGGGGATCCTCTCTCTGGACCCAATGTGCTAATTTGTCAGGTTTTTCTAACAAAATTTTGGCCACTTACCTCAGCCAGTGTCTCTTCACCAATTCTTTACTTTATATGCATTTTGGTAAACTCTGAAATTCTCTTTGCGCTGCATCTGGGCACACCTTAGTACAGATTGAGAGTAAAGTCCTGTTCGTACCTGCTTTGACTGTGAAAGGAGGGGAAGCAGTACGGCCGTCCACATGATGCATATACAGTGATGGTGCATTGCAAGATAAGTTAGATGCATACATGTAGGAGCATAGTAGTCATAGTCGTGCACAGCAGCTCTGGCCGCTTACTGACACACAATCTGAACATAATTACAACCGTCACAGCAATTCTCTTATCAAAGTGTTTCTGCAGCACTCTGCCCGCTGGGTCCAAATACCAAGAATATGTTTTCTAACACTTCTTTAATTCAGCACTGTATATAAAAACCAAGGGGCTGCTCTATCTCAGTGCGTGCACATGGTATGATGTACCTGTTCCGGCTGGTTGGCGTTGGACAGCGGTATCACCATCCAGATGATGTTGAGGTTGTTGAGGGCAGCGCTGGTGCTGAAAGAGCAGGGCAGGACAGCCGCCTGGCCACGGGCCACCTGGATGCTGCTCTGGGACACCGTCACGTCCAGTGCCCGCACACACACTGCAGGAAGAAGGAGGCACTGATTAGAGTTGTGATGAGCAGTAGATAAGCACACACATCAACAAGGTAAGAAAAGAACAGAGAGCATCTGCAACTCCCGGCAGATGCATCTCATACAATAACCAAATTTGTTTCCAAGGCTGACCACAGGCTATTTGATGACCTGGATCAGTGATATTGGAAACCCAGCCCTTACTGAGTCAGAGGCAGATAGAGACAAACATAGTGAGGCAAAGGTAGGTCTATAAATATGAGTAATATTTAGCAAAACCTCTGGCGTGTACAACTAAATGTGCAACATCTTTAAAAGCATAAGTTGTGTTTAATTCCTCAATGTGTCCTTTTCGCTGCAGCCTTTTCATCTTTATGGCAAAAAGAAATATGATTTCTAAACCGAGCTCCTCTTTTGAAAAGCTCTCAGCTGATAAACAAACATCGAGACCGCACTGTGAAGGATCACATGAAATATGTAACAGTTAAATGGGGGAACACGATGGGCTGTCTCTTGAGTGATTCCTTTCCTCAAACAACTAGCATCCTGCCGCTTTCATAGGAACGCCGCTTGTATCGATACATGTACAAACATCAACATGACAAGTGGGGATAGCTGCGGCTATTCTGAATAAGATTTCCCCCATCCTGTTCTTTGAAAGGTTTAAGCCTTTTAAACTAAGGAAGCATGGAGCTGCTATCTGGATCTCGACTCAGCTGTCAGCCATAACAGACCCACGGAGACAAATATGTACATGCTGCATCCTATTTCTAGACCAGCTAAAGACATTACAGTCTAAATTAAGTTAAATCTCCCCCGCATGCATGTATCCATGTCCAAAAAGCCCAGTGGGAAGTAATCTTATCTAAACATGGTGAGGAGGATGATGGCACTGATATGATTAAGAATAATTGATCATGTCCTGTGAATCGTCCTTGTTAGTGATAATGTAAGATGATGATCTTAGCGGAGACCACCAGCATGTCGTTTGTGCGGCAGGATAAGTCAAGCCAGAAGTCAAGTGCAAGCGATGAGCCCCTTATACATCAATATACTGTATATATTCCTATGTTTTCTGGGTTATAAATATTTGGATGATCCATCTGCTAAGAATTTAAGGCTTCATTTCTCGCCAATTTGCATTTTGGCCATCATATTCTAACCGACAGACTGCCAGTTGCTCCGTCTCTGTCTGTCCAAAACCTGCTGGACTTCCTACGCTTCCCCTCTGCTGGCAGACACCACACGCCCTCCAGGCTCACTGCTGGCACGAGGGAGATAGGCAGCGCTCAACCTGCTCCACACCACTAAGAGATATGTCCATGAAAGGACTTTAATTGTGTAAGGACTTTCACTTGAAGGCATTATATTTTACTTGAGTGTCAAAAGGTATAATTCACTTTGATTGTTCGATTGCTTAAATACTACGACAGTGTGTTAAGCAGCACGGCGTCTCCTCAGCATGTACAGTCACGACGCAGCTAATGAGCTTCAATTAACCATCTGGATCAACAAACCATTTTGCTGTAAATACAATGAATAACCCACACTTAGATCACCACTCTAATCTGATCATCCTCTATGTACACAAGGTTCATTTCCTGCATTGAATTCATCCACTGTGTGTTCTTACTGGAGGATTAACTGCAAGACGGATGAAGTTCACACAAAACATCACAAGCTGAACAGAATGTGTGCGATTGTAACGGCAGCATGGGATGATTCAAAGTGTTCATTCTTCTTCTGACCACACAGATAATAACGTGGAAGATTCAGAGAGGAGAAGAAGGAAGGAAAGTAAGGAAAGAAGGGAAATAAGGGAGAGGAAGGGAGGGAAAGAATGGAGAGGAAGGACGAAAGAAAGAGAAAAGGGAATGAAAGGAGAGAAAGAAAGAAAGGAAGGGAGAGGAGAGGAAGGAGGGAGAGACAGAAAGAAATAAAAGGACAAAAGAAAGAAAGAAAGTAAACTCCTAGAGGAATGAAGATAGAAGGAGCATCTTATCGTCTCTGAGCCTCCTCCAAGGCAGCAGTCTCTCAAACCCACAACAGCTGGAGGGCTCATTTCAAAACACTGGATTAAGAAACCTCTGTGCACAGAGCCTGTAAGCCCCAAAGACCAAAGAACACACACACACACACAACCACACACACACACAACCGCACACACTTACAAACAAGCACACAAACACATGTGCGAGCAAACATATGTGCATATACAGTCAAAGTACATATGCATACATGCCCTCTTGACTCTCACACACACACACGCACACCCACACGCACACACACACACACACACATATACACACACACGATATGTACCATCCAATATCACACATGCATATTCAAATTAATCAGTGTGTGTCATCGGTGACATGTACGGTAGCCCTTTGGGGACACATGTAAGACTTGACTGCTCACCAGCTAAACTGAGCCATTGCTTGGCATTGCCTCATTATTGCACAAACTTCTGCTTCACACCATCAGTTCTGCTCATGTTGCATGTCCTGTAGACAAGTGTGTGTCCAGCATACACACGTTGAAAAGGGTTGGATGTGTGAGGGATGAATGTCGAGCCGTTCGGTGTCGAGCAGGACCACCCGAATAAAAAACTAAATGCGACAGTGTGATGTTGTGAATAGAATATGATAAACAAGCCGATGTAAATCATCGAAACTGATTAGAATAACGGAGAAATAGACTCAGAGACAGCCTCATAGTTTATGCTCTCCCTCTGTTTTGTTCCTTTCTCACATCTATTCTTGCCCAAGGCTGAGTTCTGCAGTCTTCTTCATATCTCCAGGCTGAGGTGCATATATAGGTGTGATGTAAATGAGGCGCCCGTCCTGCCGGATTTAACATCCAAGGCTCTTCATTTTTCTATCAACAACCATCTTGTTCTCTCCTCCTCTCTCTTGCAGCTCGGAGCTGCCCCGAGGCACAGCTCAGCAGGACCCAGACCAGTGTGACTGACAGTAGAAAAGCAACAACGTACATGGACATCTCTCCCAGATGCTGGTCATCCACTGCCCAGTTATGTGTACCTGTGGTAGATCAATGCTGTGTTGTCACCTTTATTGAGTTACCGTGGATGATACAAGTCAGGTCATGGGCTGCTGATTAGATTTAGCAGCATAGTTTTACAAAATAACTTGATCTCACTGGCAATTTATCGATTTATCTGTGAGTAATCTCAATAAAAAAAGCTTCTGCATGCGAATATCCAGAATCTGTGGGCGAGTTTGGGGCTGTCTCTGGTTTCTATTTAGAGTTCACACACTGATCTCATTTGAGCAAGCGCTGGTCTCCTCCAGGTCAAACATTGGTAGAACATTAACCAAAATGCATCGGCTTTTAAATGTGTCTGCATTCATATCGAAAAAATAGCTGTTAATAGAGATTAGCCAAAAGGTTTTCTCCATAAAACACCTAGAAAAAGTATCACTGTTTTGTGCGATGAACTATTCAGCTCAATAAAAGAAACTGTAGCCAGAAAGTGATCAACACTGATCAAAAAACACTCTCTGCTACACTGGAAGCCCAAAATATTGGCAGTTTGTAATTTGTAATCAGTCGATGGGCTGCAAGAATGACACACATCTACATGCTCCTGTAGATCCTGGTGGTTTGGGAACATGTTTATATAGATAAAATGGTCAGACAGTGCCATGATTAATGTACAATGAATAAAGCCAAGAAATGCTTGGTTTCACTCATATGAATAGGTAAATAAAGAGCTACCTATTCTCTTCTGTTGTCTATTTGTTAAGTGTGTTTAGTCAATAATAAAATCCATCCATCCATTATACACCGCTTATGCTTTGAAGGTCACAGGGGGGCAGACACAAATCCAAGCTGACATTGAAGAAGTGGCGAGGGACACCCTGGATGTCCAGTCCATCAGAGAGCAGACACACAGAGATATTAACACCTACGCTTCATTTAAAGTCTCCAATCAACGTAATCCCAATTGGACAGCGGGAGGAAGTCGAGGTACGCAGAGAAAACAGAAACAGGGAGAACATACACACTTCACAAAGAAAGACCTCGACTGAACGGGATCCTTCTTGCTGTGAGGTGACAGTGCTACTCACTGCAGCACCGTGTCACTGACAAAAATATATCAGGAATTTTATGTTGGGCATTTATTGTTAAGACAAAGACATGTAAGTCCTGATAAAATCAAAAATGTTCCATGTCAGAAAAAGTTTGGAAATGGAAATGATTGTGTTTTTACTTTGAAATAAGAGAAGCGTGGGCAGGAATCCACAAGGAGGAAAAGAGAAGCATGAGAGACGGAGGCACCGTGAGAAGGGAGAGCAGGAGTCTGATATGGAGGTAAAGACAGAAAGAACAAACCAGAAGAAAGGCAGAAAAGGGGAGGATGCTGTATACCAGTGAGGCCTAATTGATAAAGTCACCTCAGGCAGTGCTAGCAGAGCTGGTGGAGTCAAGGAGAGAACCAACTGCATGGCTCCAGTAAAACAGCTCTGTCTCCTCATTCAGGAGCCAAGTGTCAAAACTGCTGTTGATTAATGCATGAGAAAACCAAACTGTGTGTGTGTGTGAGAGAGAGAGAGAAGGAAAGAGAGGGTGTTAGAGTGAGTAAAAGAGTGGAAGTGTTGTATTCACCCTGCATTTGTTCTCCATCCCATCATGGCTGCACCTTAGTTTGACTGAGAGTGTTCGCACACACACACACGCACAGACGCAGACAGACAATCCCTGCCTGGCAAGTCATTTGCATCCTGTGTTTTTTATTCATGGGGCTCTTTTATTCATAGGCTTTACTTTTATTTCAGTTTCAAACAGATGCCCCTGATGCTGTGATGTGATGAGCCTCTGGCACAGCTTCACTGAGTGAGTGAGAACACACACAGAGACACACACAAACACACACAAACACACACACACACACACACAGACATACATACTGTGAGATGATGCGATGTCTGACTTAGGAGAGAAAACAGGACACACACCAATACATGCAGCATTGATATATTCA